GGGGGGGCGTCTGGATTATAAATTTTTGTGCAGCAGCTGTTTTCTGCGGGGCTCTCTTTTCGGACTGCAGGTTTGTCTGCCTCTCTTTGGTGACTGGGGCGACAGGACTTTCCTGTTTGCTACCAATAAACTGTCTTAAAGGATTTTTCTCACCAGGCAGCGAGATGCCTCTGACCAGCACCATGTGGAATGGATCCTGACTGTAGTCTGGATGCGGTTCAACCGCCCCCGCTACGGGAGAAGCCTTTTCAAACAGCACTCTCAGAGCGGGCAGTTTCCGAGGAGCGACCACAGAGAAGTGAATTCCTCTCTACAAAAACAAATAAAATACATTCAGTCAAAAGATAAAAATGACTTGAAATTAAAACAAATGTGTGAATGTAGGAGTTGGTCGTAACTCACATCTCTGATGATTTTGACCAGGCTGTCAGCCGTGAGGCCGGTGTAGCTGACGCTCTCCACTGCAGGGAGCAGGTAAGGAGGAGAATTACACAGCAGCACACACACCTTGTGGGTCTGACCTCTGCCACGAGACAAGAATAAAGACATGAGGAGAGACGCCCCACAGCCTAAAATACATTTTAATAATCCAAAATCTATTAAAGACTTGAGAAGTAAATAATATTCTCGCCATCTATTTGTGATGTTTACTGCTTCACAAATTGTGTAAGGAATTTAAGGCCTGGCATTCCTTGAAGGAATGCATATCACCCACCCTTCTTAAAGTTATAGATAAGATCATTTGTCACCTGTACATTACGTTGTAGGTGATCTCATGTGATCAGTGTTGGCGCTCTGGGTGTGTGATGAGGGTTCAGTTTCAACCAGACCAGATTTAGTCCAGTATCTGTAATTTTGACCAAGGCTGCAGGTCTTAATGCTCAATTCCAAGTTTTCTGTGTGGTTGTTCACAATTTGATTTAAATGCAACAGTCAGCAGACTCCAGTGTGAACAGTCCACGATCCTGAAGCGACCCGCAGAAGAAAACCTGACTTTGCACTCAGCACCGTGCGCTTAGACGCAAATATGGATGCTACACGTTAGCATGTGTTTATCGATTCTGAAGTTGTGCAATCAGAACCGACTAAATGATTATCTGACAGGACTGTTTCATACGGTCTTTACATTTGATCTCGCCTTCACTCGGCTCCTCCGGCGCAGAAATGTACTTTTAAAATAGGAGTGTGAAGGTAGGAACAAACTCGAGTATGGATCCATCACATCGGTATCGATACGATCCGACACCAAAGAACCACACTGTGTGTTGGTGTAGATTCTCAGTCAACCAGGACGTGACAAATCTAGAAAGTAAAAAAATAAAATAAAAACGAAGCAGCCGGACTTCTGTTCTGTAGATGAAGACGTGTGAAGCTCCATCTTTAAAACCGCACGGCGTTGTTGATATTATCAATAGTTGGATCAATCCACATACAAATACTTCACGGATGTAAAAGTCTGATAAAAGAAAACGTGACCGTTCACACTGAGGTCACTTTGGAAAACATTGAAAATGTATCTAATTTTGTACCACATGTGAAAAAGACCTGGGTCGGATAAAAAAAAAATAAAAATAAAATCCTGATTTTCATAAGAAATTTGATACAAGTCACATTTGGACAAAAAAAAAAAAAGATTTGGGCACTTTTGTCTGCAGCTGTAGCCAAAGTTACAGACATTTCTGGTTGATACAATTGATTAGGAATCACACAGACTCCAAAAGTTAACCAGATGGAGACGTTCGTCCAATTAATAATTTCTCAAAGTTTCACTAAACTTATGAGATATTTTGCTAACAGTACAGAACACACACACAGACGTGAAAAAACCCACATAATTTCACCTTAAACAATAATAATTTCTTAGATTTCATGTTATAATTATAGTTTGGCTAAACAAAATGTAAAATTTTTCACGGTAAACCTTAAAATATTTTGGTTAACTAAGAGAAACAAAAACACTTCCTCACATTTGTTCCCTCATTTTTTTAAAGTCATCGAAGAGCTGCAAGGCCACAGAAAGGCCCTCCGCAATCAGACTGCAGCTTTCTGCGCCGCCTCCCATGAACCTGTCAATAAACAAACGTCAACAATAATCAGATTCGATTCAAAATGGCAGCATGGCAACACGACGAAAAGACGCCATGAAAAGAAGTTACTGGATGCTGTCGATCCATGAAACAAACTCGAAGGCGGAGCTGGTCGGGGCGTGACACTGGACGTACGACTCAGGAGCACAGTCGACCGTGTTGAACACCACAAGGCCGTACTGCGTTCCTCCATACTAGAAGAAACGTAAAACACAGAGATATGCTCAAAAGCATATATACAGTCTCATTAAAACCCTTAAAATGATCATTAGAACGTAAAACAGAGATTAACAAAACACTCACGTCTCCACCAAAATCCGTCTCCGCCGGGGGCCCCCCGTTGAAGTACCTATGGCAGGTAGAGCAATGACTCGACTACATGAAAGCAGCAACACGTTAAACAACTTGTACCTTTAGGCAATATTTACTCAATCGCTGGAAGTATGTAGTTTTTCCTCAAAGATTCAAAGTACGGCCCGAGGTTTGCCGTCCCTTCGATGACAAACACGACATCAGCCACCTGACTGGAACCAGGTTTACCGGACGGTTCCATGACAGCTGACCTGGACACGAAAGACAGATGGAAATTCCTTATTTATTCAAGCTGTAAAGTAATAATATTATACCGTTTCCCTTAGTGAAGGAAATCCCAACAAACATGCAAGTAATCAAAACTTAAACAGGAAAGACGTTTTGTACAATTTCACAAGGAAAGATTGAATTAAAGGACTGTGCAAAAGTTTTGAGTCATCCCAATTATTATTATTTTTTTTATTTTGCTTCAAATGAGCCACGCTTTCTTAAATTTTAGTTAGTTTAGTTACTTTAGCGTTTGCATTTATTTTCAGTCCATCTCCTGATTGTTCTCAGAGAAATGTTTAGTTAAGCTACTTAACTAAAATGATGATTCTAAATAAAAGTTGAAACCGATGCAGACATGGTCCTGTTTTTAGTTTTCTACATTTGCCTTATAATCTAGCTGCTTTTGTTACTTTTATTGTCATCTTCTTTGTATAAATTTATTTTTTTAAATCTGTATGCTTTTTTATAACCGTCTATTGTTGTCATCATTCTTTGTTGAAATCAGGTCTCTCTTGTAAATGAGTCCTCGAGGCTCAATGGGATTAACCCGTAAATAAAGGTCGAATGAAATAAAACTCTGACCAAGGTATCATTAAGGCATAAAAAGGCTCATTAAGGGAAGAACTGTGTGGCGTCACATACATAAAAATAGTACTACCAATTATAATTATTTATTTGTATAGCACACTTTTAATAGTAAATGTATTCAAAGTACTTTACGAAAAGTCGGCAGCATTCAGGTTTGCTGATAAATTATCACTCACTAACTCTCATAAGATATATGGGGGGGGGGGGGGCGGATACATGTTCAAAATCTAATATAATCTTAGAAACAACTCTTACAGAGTTTTACAGTAGGGATCCACAATATTATCGGCATGGTATCGGCCGATATTAGAGTTAAAGTTCAATACCGGCCATTCCATTAAAATAACTCGCCGATATAAAAGGCGCTGGTTTTACCTGCAGCGGCAGCACAACGTGATGACGTTGCAGCGCAACAATGACGTCACTTGCGCCTATCTGGTTTCACGGCGGAGAGGAAAATTCAAAATGTCGGCGATGTGGAAGATTTATTTTTTGTTGGTGAGGATGTCGGACTCAGAAGATTTATGAACTACGTTGAGCCTCAGATGACTGAGAAAACAAACTTTGTGTTTTTGAAACCATTAGTGAAAA